ATCGCCCCAGGTCAGCCCACATCACCCCACATTGCCCTGCATCGCCCCGTGTCGCCCCCTCCCCAGCTGCCCCAGGCTGTGACGGGATGAGGCTGTGGAGCTCAGCCAAGCAGTTTTTGGGGGGCAAGGCCAGGCAGCCGTCAGGGGGAGAACGTATTTAATGAAATGTCTGTCACATGGGCATAATTAAAGCTTCTCATTATCACAGTGTTAGCGGCAGCGAGGGGCATGCTCCCAGAGGGGCGTCTTTGCAGGAGGCCCCACGGCTGCAATTAGGCGACGCTGCCCTCCGGCCACGCGGGTTTAATTACTCCCTTCCCTGTGTTTTCTTCCCGAGGGAGTGGAGAGGCATCCCGCAGCCCAGCCCGGCACAGCGAGGCAGCGCAGAGCCACGGCAGCCCCCACCGAAGAACAACAAAGCCCTGGAATTAGAGATGTGCTGGAAGTTTACTTTACCGCAAAAAAATGTCAGAAATCCGTATTGTTTGGACAGGGATTTGCTGGGGATCGCTAGATAAAAGCCTGGCAGGGACCCAGCCAGGGGGGAAAAAGTCAGCCAGCTCCTTTGTCGCGGCGGGGACTTGTGGCCAAGCGAGGGATGCACCGCACCGCCGGCACAGGGGGTTTCGTGGCTGAGGCAGGGGCAGGGGCAGGGATGGTCAGTGCCTTTGGGAGCAGGACCTGGGCCTGGGAACAGCCTGGGGCTGGGGAAAGGGATGCCAGGCTGCCCCGTGCCCGGCACTGGCTTTGGGGCTTTGCAGTAGGAAATGTTTCAGCCGTGCCAGCACCCTGGGACAGCAGGCGCGGCTGCCGGCGATGGCTCCATGGGACACCTGGATGGTGTGCTGGGCTCGCCGATGCCGAGGGGCGGCTGCCCTGGCACGGTCGGACAGGAGTGGGAAGGATCCGTGTCCCGGGGGCTGCTCTCACCCCTCAGGGCCCCCCAGCAGCTCCACGCTTGCCAAATTCTGCAGCAGAGTCGGGGCAGCTGCTCCAGCCGTGCCCACGCTCAGCTGCTCTCCTCTCCCTTTCCCGCTCCCCCTGAAGTGGGGCTCAGCTCCTGGCTGCTGCTCGGGCTGCGGCTCAGACCTGGAAATGCCAAATCCCCTTTTCCCCCAGGACCCACGAGGGCCACTTCCCCCAGCTCTGTGCTTGGGATTTGCCTGCCCCTGTGCTGCCCAGCCTGGGGCACAGCCGTGGCACCGCTGGGGGTGGCGG